GTCTTTTCTTCTTTAAAAACTGCAGCCAGGCATGGTGACGTTTAGTTGATTCCTTGCTTTGTAGGTGGCTAAGACAAAAAAAAAATATCATGAGACAGCAAGACTATGTGTCAAAAAAAATCAAACAAGAATGGAAACTCCTTTGTGCAACTACTTAAAATATTTTTTAAAAAATCACAGAAGAGTCAGGCACGGGTGGCTCACACCTTGTAATCCTAGCTACTCAGATGACTGAGATCTGAGGATCACAATTAGAAGTGATGGATGGAAAGACTCTTACCTCCAATTAACCACCAAAAAGCCAGATGTAGAGCAAAGATCAAGTGGTAGAGTGCTAGCCTTGAGCAAAAAAAGCTCAGGGACAGCACCCAGGCCCTGAGTTCAAGCCCCAAGACTGGCATATTCACACATGAACATGCTTACACACCCACACACAAATCAAACAAAAAAGCAACTTTGTGGTACTCACAAGCCAGGTATGTTGGCATGACAATGTAATGGTATAAAATGTAATTTTATAAATAATGATGTTCTGGACAACTTTGTATGTATGTGTTGCTTGTTTTACATTGTTGGAGGCTTGTCTTCAGGGTAAATTCTTAGTACTGAGATTGCTAGGCCAATACATATAGGGATATATGTGTTTAAAATACACATTATGAGCTGGATGTCAGTGGCTCACGCCTGTAATCCTACCTACTCAGGAGGCCGAGATCTGAGGATCACTGTTCAAAGCCAGCTCTGGCAGAAAAGTCCCCGTGAGACTCTTATCTCCAGTTAACTACTCAAAAACTGAAAGTGGTGCTGTGACCCAAAGTGGTAGAAAAAAAATTAAAAACAAAAACAAAAAAAAACGAAGTGGTAGAGAGCTAGCCTTGAGCAAAAGAGCTCAGGGACAGTGCTGAAGCCCTGAGTTAAAGCCCCATGATGGACAAAACAATAAAAAAAAAAGTTGAAGTAAGCTAAAATCAGTTTCCCCACTAATTATAGAGTCACAACCATTTGGAGCTAAGAGACATCTTCAAAATACTCAAGTGTATCAACTTACTTTGTGGACGCATCATCTAGACTCAGGCTATAAAGTAGAATGAATACTGTTTCTGTATGGTGCTGAGGATTGAACCCGGGGCCTGGCACATGCGAGGCAAAGCTCCCCACAACTTGAGCTATGGCCTCAGCCCTTTAGTTTATATTTCACTTTTGACTGACCTTCAACTCGTTCATCTGCTTCCACCTCCTAAATAACTGGAATTAAACAAACAAACAAACTGGACACTACTATGTCTAGCTGCTGCTGCTGTTTTTTGCAGAGCTACATAGAACAGTCTCCTCTTCACCTTTCTTTCTTTTCTTTTCTTGCTAGTCCTGGGGCTTGAACTCAGGGCCTGGGTACTGTCCCTGAGCTTCTTTTACTCAAGGCTAGCACTCTTATCACTTGAGCCACAGTGCCACTTCTGGCTTTTTTTGTTTATGTGGTACTGAGGAGTTGAACCCAGGGCTTCATCATGCTAGGCAAGCACTCTACCACGAAGCCACATTCCCAGCCCCTACTCTTCACCTTTCACCAATACCCATCAGCCAGTTCTTACAGTGGCAGTATTTCTTTAATTTCCCACTAAAAATTAGAGTCCAACAACCATCCCATTATACCTTTTACATATGTAAACTTATGATGCCCAGAGGAAAACGTGTGTGCATGTCTGTGCGTGTGCACACCCAAGGCTGGGGCTTGCACTCTGGGCCTGGACACTGTCCTTGAGATTTTTGCTCAAGGCTGGTGCTCTACCACTAGAGCTACAACCTCCACATTTAATTGGAGATAAGAATCTCATGGGCTTTCCTGCACAGGCTGACTTCAAACCACAATCTTCAGACTTCAGCCTTCTGATTCGCTAGGATTACAGGTGTGAGCCATCTGCACCCAGTTGTACACATGGTTCTGATTGAGAGCTGGCCCTCACAAAGCGAGATGAGACTATTTGGGAATCAGATCTGGAGCAAAATGTGATCGTGAGACCTGGAAAGGATAAGAACTTGAGCTAGGCAAAACATGCGGTGATTTGTAGAGATGTGAGTGGTCATGATTTCAGGTTTGTTCAGGACCTCTGCAGTGGACACTTAGACACTTCTGAAACATTTGTACTAGCCACAAAGAAGGTGCTTGGTTTAGAACTTTGGCACTGGGGGGGGGGGGGGGGGGGAAGGGGAAGGGATGGAAGGGGAAACTGTACTCACTACCTTGCCCATGTAATTGTAACCCCTCTGTATGGTATTTTCACAATAAAATAAATAAATAAAAATAAAAAGAAGGTGTTTGGTGATGCTTGCTAGATAATTGTGCATCATATTTTTTAAAAAACTCATTCCCCCCAGTATACACCACAAAAACTAAAGGCAGAATGGAGAAAGGAAGTAATGTCAAAGGATAAGTTGACCTATTATCTCAGTGTCTCAAAACTAGTGTTTGGGCTGGAAATGTGGCGCTGTGGTAGAGGGCTTGCCTAGCATGCATGAAGCCTTGGGTTCGATTCCTCAGTACTGTGTAAACAGAGCGAGAGAGAGAGAGAGAGAGAGAATTAGTATTAGTAGTCTTTTTGCCCAAATAAAAAGTTGGACTGGGCCTGGAAGTGTCACTAGGTGCTAGATCTTGCCTAGCATGCATAAGGCTCTGTGTTCATTCCCCATACAGCAGGAAGAGGAAGGGAGAGAGGAGGAGAAGGAGGAGGAAGAGGAGAAAAATGGGTTGGATGTACCACATAACTTTACAGTTAAAGCAAGCAATATTTCTAGAAGTCTAACCTTACTGGAAGTCTAACCTTTTCTGGAAATGTTGGTATAGAAGACACAAGAAAGAATGATCTGTCTAAGCACCTGTGAAAAATCTCACTTGTAATGCAAGTTAGGCTCAAGAGGCTCAGATCTGGAGGATCCAGTTTGAAGCCAGCTTGGGGAGGAAAGTCCTCAGGTCCATCTCTAATTAGCCAGCCAAAAGCCAAGCTGAAGGGGTGGCTCAAGCACTACAAGTGAGCAAACAAGCCAAATGAGAATGTGAGGCACTGAGTTTAAGTCACAATACCAGCACAAAAGCAAAGGGAAAAACATTGCCTAGCATAAGATAACAGAAATAATGGAAACTTTTTTGTTCAAAGCCATTCAGAGAAACAATCTCAGTAGTTCTTACCCTTTCCTTTTCTTTTTGTCAGTTGTGGGGCTTGAACTCTGGGCCTGGGGGCTGTCCCTCAGCTCTTTAGCTCAAGGCTAGCACTCCACCACTGAAGCCATAGTGTCACTTCTAGCTTTTTCTGCTTACGTGGTACTGAGGAATCGAACCCAGGGCCTCATGCATGCAAGGCAAGCACTCTACCACTGAGCCACCTTCCCAGCCCCAGTTCTCACAGTTTCTAAGAGTAGGAAGACAAGGGGTGTTGTTAGAAAACTTACTGCATTGACCTGACCAGTCCTCAGGAAAGCTCTGGAGGCTGAGCTTAGGGCCTCGTATTTGCCAAGCAAACACTATCACTTGAGCCATACCGCAGCTCAAGAGATTTATTTTAAGATCAATACCCTATCGAAGTTTTGGTTTATGAGATTTTTCTTTTCTAAATTCATAGTACTAAATATATATATAAACTAAGTTCTACTTTTATTAAGAGTTATTTATGTTTATATACTAGATATCTCTTATAGGTTGTTTTAGTTTTTCCTTGTATCTGTAATTTTTAAAACAATTTTACCCTAAGTGAATACACACCCTCTTGGATAATAGTTTCTAAAAACTACTTCCCTTTATATGAAACACATTTTTAGCAAGTATGCCAGAAGTAGTCTCAGAAGCAGCTGATTTGACTAGATATTATTATCAAAATAAACGGCCAAATAAGTACCACAACAAAACTAGAATTGTCTTTGTGAAAAGTTTGTCATTATTCAAATAGGTTATTTAAAATAACATATGACTAATTATGCCAAAACATCCTTATACTGTATTTTAAAATAATGTATAAAGCACAGTTACAGGTATTTTTGGTGGTTGTTTTTTGTTGTTGTTGTTGAAGAGGCAAAATTACCTTTATTTTTTTCTACTTTTTTAAAATTTAATTTATTGTGAAGATGCTGTACAGAGGGGTTACAGTTACATGAGTAAGACAATGAGTACATTTCTTCTTGAGCATTGTTACCCCCTCCCTTGTTCTCCCACTAGATTGTTGCTGCTTTAAAAAGAACAAAATTGTTGGGTACTGATGACTCATGCCTATAATGCTAGTTAGAGTATGAGGCTGAGATCTGAGGATCAAGTTTCAAAGTTGGCTCTGGCAGACAAATCACTAAACTCTTATCTCCAACTAGCCAGCAAAAAGCTGAAATGAAGGCATATCTCAAGTGGTAGAGTGCTAAATAAGCATAAAAGTAAGAGTGTAAGACTCTGAGTTCAAGCCACAGTACCATGATAAATAATAACAACCCCCAGCAGGCCAAGCAAGTAAAGATGAGCCCCCTCCCTCCAGAACACTGCAGAAGATTCTCAGAGTAACTCAGAAAGGTTGAGCAGGGCACTATGAAACTATGAGCGTTCATCACAGAACGCTCTAGTCTGAGCAGGTAGCAATCAACCATGTGCTCCAAGAAAGACCAGATTTACTGATAAACATCTTGTGTGGAAGACAAACTGCCCCTCAAACAGTCAGTGTCTTCTTTCTTATCTTAAAGCCAACAGCCAAAAATTCAGGAGACCACCCTGTTCCTGTTCTGTTTCAGTAGTAAAGTAATAACTTCTCCGAAACTCCTCCAAGAACAAAGACTGAGCTAATGGTCAACCAAGTCACACACCTGTGACCTGTGACTGCTAAAGCAGAATTAAAACTCTGCAGACCTTTCTTACCTCCTGCCCCAATTCTCCCTATTTAAACTGAAGCCAATGTCAGTACCTCTGGAAACACATGTACCGAAATGCTGTCTTCCAATGGCTGCCATGTAATAAATGTCCTTTCTCTATCACTTACCATGTGTCTTTGCATATGTGTCTTTGCTAATGGCCAGACCTAACTTGCAACTCCTGGACTGTGGGGCGTGGGGTCTAAAAACTCCAGTTTCAATGTCATGATAAACCCTTAGCATGAGGGCATGTGGGGTGTCTAGGACTCCAGCAACCAAAAAGAGTCCTTGCAGAAGTAGGAAATTACAAGGTGTAAGGGAGAGGGGGGCCTCAGGCTGGAGAGGTATTTCCTATAAAGTGGAGAAATGAGGGAGAAGCAGGGAAGCTGAGAAATATTAGAGTTAATCATTCATGAAGGAAAGGCCAGTGAGAAACTTCAAACGATCAAAAGATGAAGAAACCTTGAAATATAATTTTAGGTAGTGGGTTTTTTTGTCTTTGTTGTTAATCCTGGGGCTTAAACTCAGAGCCTGGGCCCTGTCCCTGAGCTTCTTTTGCTCAAGACTAGCACTCTACCACTTGAGCCACAGTGCCACTTCTAACTTTTTCTGTTCATGTGGTACTGAGAAATTGAACCCAGGGTTAATGCATGCTAGGCAAGCACTCTACCACTAAGCCACATTCCCAGCTCTCCTCTTCACATTTCAATAATTTCCATCCGTTCTTACAGTGGCAGCATTTCTTTAATTTCCCACCATAAATCAAAGTCCATCCTTCACCCATCCTGTCACACCTTTTGCATTTGCAAACTGATAATGCCAAAAAGTAAGCATGTGTGTGAGTGTGTGTGTGTGTGTGTGTGTGTGTGTGTGCACTGACTTCTTACATCTTAGCAGATTTGAACACACTCACTTTCTGTGGGAGCTGGGGGGTTGTTGAAAAAGTAGGGACTGTAAGGATATATTGAAAAACAGAGCCAGCCTCAGAATGGCTAGAACTGGGAAGCTTAGCCTCTTCAGAAACCCACGACCTCTTGAACCACTCCATGAAGAGCTTGGCAACCAGGCTTGAAGAGGCTGAAAGAGTAGCCCCCAGTGGCCACCCAAAGCACACCCTGAGGATATGCTGAACACTGAATACCTTTGCAAGCTTACTTTTCCGTATTTTCTCTTCATATTAGTCACATTTTCTTTTCAGTACAGGAATTTGAACTAGAGCCTTCTGTTGCGTAAGCGGGTTCTCTACCACTTGAATCTCACTCCCCAGCCTTTTTTTTGCTTTATTTTTTCAAGGAGGGTTTCATACTTTTTGCCTGGAGTCCACCTCAGACCTCAATCCTACTTAAGTGTTTCCCTTAGAAGCACAGGTTCAGGCTCCTACACCTGGCTTTTTGTTGAGATGAGCTTCCCCCACCTCCCAGACTGGCCTCTAACCATGATTCCTCAGATTTTTGCCTCTCAAGTAGCTGGTATTGTTAAGAAGCAACCTAAGGGGCTGGGAAGATGGCTCAGTGGTAGAGCGCTTGCCTTGCATGCATGAGGCGCTGGGTTCGATTCCCCAGCACCACATAAGCAAAAAGAAAAAAAAGCTGGAAGTGGCACTGTGGCTCAGGTGGTAGAGCGCTAGCCTTGAGCTGAAGAGCTGAGGGACAGTGCCCAGGCCCAAAGTTCAGGCCTCATGACCGGACCCCCCACCCCCCCAAAAAAGGAAGCAACCTAAAAGATGCTGTGCTGAGCCCTGTGAATTACCTAAAAGTTCCCTAACTTTGTATCTGTAACCTTTGATCTGAGCTATTCTGTTTGCAGTTGACTTTATGCTCATCTTGGGTTCCAAGACAGAAGATTTACAGATAAACATCTGGTGTTGAAGGCAAACTGCCCCTAGAATAGGCAATGCCTTCTTCTTATCATCTTAAAAGAAACACCCAAAAAATCAGGGCACTGCCCACCAGATAACCTGTTCCTGCTCCCCTTCCAATGGGAAAGTCCTCCAAGGACTAAAGATTGAGCTAAATGTACTGAAGCGCCATCTTTGCATGGCTACCATGAGATCCATTTCCTTTCTCTACCCTCCACCAGGTATCTTTATTTGGCATTTGGGGACAAGTGTCTGGGTCTAACTTGGTACTCTTGGACTTTGGACATGGGCTCTAAAAACCTGGTTTTAGTATTGTAGGTGTAAGCACCAAGGAACAGTGACAGGACGATTTTTAGTCTTGAAGGGTCACCTGTGGCTAGCTCCACTATCTTTTGATAAGAAGATTTTATTTATTTATTTTTGTTGTCCATCATGGGGCTTGAACTCTGGGCCTGGGCACTGTCCCTCAGCTCTTCAGCTCAAGCTGAACACTCTACCACTTGAGCCACACTGCCACTTCGGGTTTTCTGGTGGTTTATTGGAGATGAGTCTCATAGACTTTCCTGCCTGGGCTGGCTTTGAACCGTGATCCTCAGATCTCCGCTTCCTGAATAGCTAGGGTTACAGGTGGGTGCCACCGGTGCCCGGCAAGAAGATATTTTTATCTATGCCCAAATATGACTCTCCCCTTCTATTGGTCTCTTAACCACTTCCTACTGCCCTTCTATCATTTTCTACCTTTATCTTGTTTTGTCATTTTTGTTTCTTTCCTGCCCCCACCACTCCCTCCAGAAGTGAATTGGCAGAAATCCTGGCTATTCCTACTCTTTTTTTTTTTTCCCACTTGCCATTTAGATTTGCATTTACCTGGAACTCTAAATATTACTTGTAAGGATTCCATAGCAGACACTTGCAGTTTGCTTTCTATAAATGTTAAGACATCAATTTTTAGATTCTTAATAAAATATTAAATCACCTTTCACATCCAACTTATGTTTTTCAAAGAAATTTTTATATAAGCATTCCCCACTCAGTTTTATTCCGTATAAGTTTTCACGTTATTGCCTTCAAATGATCATTTTGGAGATCCCAGTGAAGCAGTTAATAGGAATCCAAAGATTACAATGGAGAAGGAATAAATTGGTACAGTCTTTTAGTCAAGCAATTTGGCAATGTAGTACTTACCAAGAACCATTTTTGTCTGAACTCACTTTTAAGAATCACTGTTAAGAGCTGGGCGACGGTGGCTCACACCTGTAATCCTAGCTACTCAGGAGGGTGAGAGCTGAGGATCACAATTCAAAACCAGCCCAGGCAAGGAAAATCCATGAGACTATCTCCAATAAACCACTAGAAAACAGGAAGTGGTGCTGTGGTAAGCAGTTGAGCACTCGCCTTGAGCTGAAGAGCTGAGGGATAGCACCCAAACCCAGAGTTCAAGCCTCATGACCAACCAAAAAAAAAGAGAATCACTGTTAAGAATTTTTCCACTAGAAATACAGTCAGGTGCAGCCAACAATGGGCTACATATGGATAGTGGTCCCCCTAAGATGAGTCAGCCTTGTGATGTTATAACCATCTCACTTTGCATAAGTCTACTGGATGAGGTTCACATAATGTCAAGATCACCTAACACCACTGGTCTCAGACTATATCTCCATTGTTAAGTGATGTATGACTACAATGAGAAAGGTGGTCAAACACAACAATATATTTATTACAACATTATTTGTGTAGCAAATGGATACAAATCAATGTTCAGCAAAAGGAAAATAAAATTTCATAATCATATAATAATTATATGGCAGAACTGGGGGCATAGCTCAAATGGAAGGGGCTACTTCTTCAGCTTGCTCAAGGTCTTTGGTTCAATCCCTCAAACTACAAAACATAGCTATCTAGCCAGATACAGATAGATAAATAAATAAGCAGTTAAAAGCTATGCTTTTCCTTGAATGTAGTTTCTTGTCTAAAGTATCTGGGTAAACCATCTAAGTGACTTCAAGAATGGAAAGCAGCAGTAGTTCTGGTGTTTTTTGTTTTTTCATTTTTGTGTGTGTGCTGGTATTAGGGCTTAAATTCAGGGCCTAGGCACTATCCTTTTAATTTTTGCCCCATGATAATGTTTTACCACTTAAACCACAGTTCTATTTTCAAGCAGGAAGCCCTCTTAGAAAGTAGAGATATTACAGGGAGGGCCCAAAAATTCTATGTATAAATTGTGTCCAAAAGTCTAGTATCTCTGAACCACACAAGTATGAGACTGATTTCAGCTATCAATAAAATTGGTCATCCAGGAGTCAGTGGCTCATGCCTGTAATCTCAGCTACTCAGGAGGCTGAGCTCTAAGGATCACAATTCAAAGCCAGCCCAGGCAGGAAAGTCTGTGAGACTCTTATCTCCAACTAACCACCAGAAAACCAGAAGTGGATTTGTGGCTTAAAGTGGTAGAGCACTAGCCTTGAGCAAAAGAGCTCAGAGACAGCACCCAGGCCCTGAGTTCAGGCCCCATAACTGACAAACAATGAAAGAAAGAAAGGAAGGAAGGAAGGAAGGAAGGAAGGAAGGAAGGAAGGAAGGAAGGAAGGAAGGAAGGAAGGAAAGAAGGAAGGAAGGAAGGAAGAAAGGAAGGAAAGAAAGAAAGAAAGAAAGAAAAAGAAAGAGAGAGAGAAAGGACTGATCACTGAGCCATTATCAAAGAGACAGAGATTATAGTCCAAGTTCAATCAACTTAATTTTCTGAGTAAAATAACTCATTCTTTAGAGAATGTAATAAAATACATAATCTCTACAACATAGCATTTATAAGGTCTGCTACAGTCTGAACATTCATGAAAATGTGACCCATATTCAAGATAAAAGAAAATCAACAGAAACTAACAGAGAATAGACTCAAAATTTGAAATTAGCTGAGTAAGAGGTAGAAACATCTACAATCATATTCAAAGAGGAAAAGGAAAGTATGTTTGTGATGAATGAAAAGAAGGGCATCCTGGGGCTGGGAAGGTGGCTCAGTGGTACAGCGCTTGCCTTGCATGCCTGAGGCCCTGGGTTCGATTCCTCAGCCCCACATAAGAAAAAAAAAAATTAAAAAGCTGGAAGTGGCACTGTGGCTCAAGTGGTAGAGCACTAGCCTTGAGCTGAAGAGCTGAGGGGACAGCGCCCAGGCCCAGAGTTCAGGTCCCATGACTGACCATAAAAAGAAAAAGAAAAGAAGAGCATCTTAGGAGACATAGAGAAACTACAAAATGGAACCAAATAGAAGTTCTTGAGCTGAAACACAATATTAGAAATGAAAGAAATATACAACTTCATTGTACAGACTTAATTGCAGTGTCTAGATGACAGAGAAACAACCCAGGATGTTTGAAAAGTATCTAGTCTAAGTAATAAAGGGGAAAAATACTGAAAACAGGAACAGAGCTCTAAGAACATGAGGAAAAATATAAAACATTAGATGGGCTGGGAAGATGGCTCAGTAGTAGAATGCTTGCCTTGCATGCACGAGGCCTTGGGTTTGATTCCTCAGCACCACATAAGCAGAAAAAGCTGGAAGTGGCGCTGTGGCTCAAGTGGTAGAGTGCTCACCTTCAGCTGAAGAGCTGAGGGACAGTGCCCAGGCCCAGAGTTCAGGCCCCACAACAGACAAAAAAAAAAATTAGACATATGTGTTATCAAGAGAGAGACTAAGACAAAGGGAATATTTTAGGAAACAAACCCCAAAAAGTTTCTATACAGGAAGTCTCCAATTTACAATGGTCTGACTTACAATTTTTAATATAATTTTATTGTTATTATTAAGGTGTTGTTCAGAGGGGTTACCACTTCATAAGTTAGATATGAGGACAATTCTTTTTGAACATTTTCACCCCTTCCTTCACTCTACCCCAGTTACCCCTTTCGTTCCTGCCCAGTGACTTACATTTTAAATTTTTTATGATGTTATGAAATCCATATACCTTTGTTTGAGAAGACATACTTTGAATTTCAAGTTTTGGTTCTTTTCCTGGATTAGTAACATGCTGTATGATACTCTCTCACCCTCCTGAGATGATTTGGCAGCAATTACTCAGGCAATCACACAGGTAAACAACATGGCTGTTGTTAAATTCTCATGTCGGTATATTTGGTGCATTAAATTCCCTTTCAGTTTACACTATTCTCAATTTACAACAGATTTATCAGAATGTAATTCCAACATAGGTATAAGAACATCTGTGTTTAGTCAAAAATATAAAGTTAAAGAATGTCAGTGAAATCTAAGCAGAGTAACAAAGAAAATGTGTGCCTAGATATGCAGAAACTAGCTCTAATATACATGGGAACATGGTAAATTATAGAAGACACTAGACATTCACACACAGCAAGAGCAAAGGAGGCTAGCCTTAAGAAAGGAACCAAAGGTGCATGCTTTGTACATCTGATCATACAAAATAATAATTATCAAAATGAAAAAAGTATGCCTAGAAACATCAAACTGCCAAAAAATATTACAAAAAGAAAATCATGAAAATACTGCTTACAGGGAAAATCTGAAGCACTCAGAACATGTGAGTGACTAACTTTTATAAGAAACTTATGGAGACAGTTAAAGGACATTTGTTAAATGCTAGAGGAGAGAGGAAGTCAACCTAGGATTTTATATCTAGCACAATGATCTTTCAATAATAAAAGTGGAAGAATGGTATGGTCGGGTGCCAGTGGCTCACACCTGTAATCCTAGCTACTCAGGAGGCTGAGATCTGAGGGTCGCCTGGGCAGGAAAGTCCCAGATGCAAAAAAACACTAGAAAACTGGAAGTGGTGCTGTGGCTCAAGTGGTAGAGTGCTCGCCTTGAGCTGAAGAGCTGAGGGACAGTGCCCAGGCCCTGAGTTCAGGCCCTACGACTGAACAAAAAAAAAAAAAAAATGGAAGGATGATCTTTTCAGATTAAGAAAACTAAGACCATTTTATTTTTAGCCAGTCTTGGGGCTTAAACTCAGGGCCTGGGCACTGTCCCTGAGCTTCTTTTTGCTCAAGACTAGCACTCTACCACTTGAGCCATAGTGCTACTTCTGGCTTTTTCTGTTTATGTGGTACTGAACAATTGAACCTGGGGGCCTCATACATGCTAGGCAAGCACTCATTCCTAGCCTCATCCCTAGCCCTAAGACTATTCTTTTGTCATTTATTTATTGTGCCAATCCTGGAGCTTGAACTCAGAGCCTGGGCACTGTCTCTGAACTTTATGGATCAAAGACTAGCACTTTACCACTTGAGCCACAGCGTTACTTCCAGCCTTTTGTGTTTATGTGGTACTGAGGAATCTAGCCCAGGGCTTCATGCATGCTAGGCAAGTAGTCTACCACTAAGCCACATTCCTAGCACTGTGAAACTCTTATCCCCAGTTAACCTCCAGAAAACCAGAAGTAATGCTGTGGCTCAAAGAGGTAGAGCACTAGCCTTAAGCAAAAGAGCTCAAGGACAGCATCCAGGGCCTGGGTTCAAGCTCCATGACTGACAAAAAAAGTGATACATGTGAAGGTATGTCACTAAATGATAGAATACTGGACATCTTGGTTAGTGTGATAATATGCATGTGGCATGTAGGTAGATCTGGTCTACATCTTGAAGGATGAACAAGAGAGTACTAACTATAGTTATCATTGCAGAGAAAGGAAAATATCTATAATCTGTATAATATCCCACTAATGCTCATTTAATAATAAAAATTATATAATAAAATAATTAAATTATATAATTAAATATAAATTAGATAATAAATATAAATTATATAACTGTATATAAATATAAATTGAATAATAAAATTAAGAAGCCAGGCACCAGTGGCTCACGCCTTTAATCTTAGCTACTCAGAAGGCTGAGATCCGAGGATCAAGGTTCGAATCCAGCCCAAGTAGGAAAGTCCATGAGATTTTTATCTCTAATTAACTGCCAGAAAACCTGAAGTGGCAC